TGAAAGGAAGAATGTACGAGTGTATCCACAGGTGACAGCAACTACAAGACAACGACCCCCCCCCCCCCCCCCCCCCCCGGCCTGGTCACAGCTCACGAACGAAAGGAATGTGGCTAAGGCAGTGCCTATGTTATTGTCCATGGTTCGCAGGGTGCAAGGGTATGAGTGAGATTTTCTTTGTGTGTGCGTGGAGGGAGGGGGTGGGGTGTGAAAGTCATGCGGACGGGGATGAGCCGCGGGAGGGAACACAGGAATTGAATGGGTGAGTGAAACTGAAAGAGAGGAAAGACTCATGAGCCCTGGAGTGAATGGATTCCTGTGTTTTTATGTTTGTATACTCTGAACTGTCATGTTACTGAATAAAAGCTGAAATAAAGCCCGAAAAATACACACTCACACACTCCTCACTCTCCACTTACACACACTTACTACCACACACAGACACACTCACACACTCACATGCATACACATACACACACACACACACACACACACACACACACACACACACACACACACACACACACACACACACACACACACACACAGGATCAAATTTTTGGGTCTATATATCTATTTCAATTTTGAAGAGCTAGTCTAGAGATTTTTAGATGAGTGTAAAAACGTGAAAAAGAAAGGTTTCACAACCAAATGAAATCAAAATTAGAACAGCCCATAAACAGCCACAAAAATTAACAAATAAGGGTGTCCGAAGAAGATTGGCTGTTCTAACCATAAATGTGCGTAAATTTTTTTTAAAGTACGGGATATAACATTAAATTATGGAATCACACACATTAAGGGGCCTGCCAGTGTCAGTCCATGTAATCGGTTTTAGTGGAACCTACGCTCTAACATAACACATTTAAGTCTCTCTCTCTCTCTCTCTCTCTCTCTCTCTCTCTCTCTCTCTCTCTCTCTCCATATATATATATACATGTATATATATTTAGAATCTAATGAAGGTAGAAACATCAAATTAAATGACGTTACGCTATGCAACACCCCCCCCCCCCACACTTTCCCCAACAAAAAAAATTGATAGAAAAACAACACATCAGAACAATAACAAGAAAAAAAATTACACACTAACAAAATAAATCACCACAAAAAGAGTCAAAGAGGGAAAAACAAAAGTAACTGTAACGTATTCAATAAATCAACGTGGTGACAACAAGTGAGAAAGAGACTAAGTGAAGCTAAGTGAACTTTCTTTCAAAAGTAAAGAGGTTCGGTTTCTTTCTTTTTTCCTTTTTTTTTAAATTTGACTTTTATTTCCCGACCAAAAAATGCCAAAAAATCGAGCCACGATTGATTGGTCGCGGCCGCGACAAACGCAGAAGCTAGTTCTATGTGTCGTTATCAATAACCCTCCGTAGATCTAGATCTAGACAGCACACGAGTGAACACAACACATTAAGTAGGCAACATCATATCTGTAGTGAAAAACTGTTTGGAACTGTAGCATTTCTTTATATAAATATTTACTGCGGACATTATTTTTGGACGGATTGAACCACATTGTATACAAACAATCTTTGGTAGGCCTATACTCTATATAATATCTTAAATTTGCAGGAAAGGATGTGATTTCAGAGTGTTGGGAGAAATAGTGCCCAGCTTTATTTTCCCGAATGTTCGGAGAAATGGTGCCTAGCTTTATTTTCCCCAACGTTCGGAGAAATAGTGCCCAGCTCTATTTTCCCGAACGTTTGGAGAAATAGTGCCCAGCTTTATTTTCCCGAACGTTCGGAGAAATAGTGCCGGCCTATAAAATTGGCCTTCATTTTTGCCGCAAATCTATAGTTATTGAGTTTATATAGATCTATATTGATGTTTGAAAACAGTTCTACTATAGGACCAGTGGCGTAGTAATATTTGACTTGTTTTTAACAACATAGGGGGTTTCAGGGGGGCATGCCCCCATGACCTAAAAAGAAACTAGGGGGTTTCAGTCAGGGGGCAGGGGGGCATTTGATGTTTTGGCAATTAGGATTGACTTGAAAACAATTGATTTGCAAGGGTTTTAGTGGCCATATATATGTGTGTTCTGCAGCAAAAGTTATGGCTGTTTAGCCTTCAAATCTGCATATTCTGTGTGTGGGTGCATAAAAGTCTAAAAAATAGCTCTACTACTATCCATAGAGTCCTCCTAGGCATTTTTAATTGGCAGGCGCTATTTGCAACGTCGCATTCTGAATTGCTCCCATGCTATTTGAAACACCAGTACTAGAATCTACATCTAGTAGCCATCGTTTCTACATGATAATTTTGTAGTTTGCCTGAATTGTGGAAGCTTTTTATATCAGTTTCTTGATAAACCTCCTAGGATTTGACTCCTTTTTTATGACGTTGTCTTATTCCGTTCAATATGGGTAGATCTAGAATCTAGATAAGATTTAGATTAGATCTAACAATTGTTTCTGACATTGTTTGCTCAAAAGTAGACTAGACTTAGTCTTGTTCATTCATCTCTCATTTATAATCATTTGAGTTTGAGCAAGTAAGTCGAAAGTTGCTTGGATAACAATAACAAGACTGTGCAACTCGG